CTACCTTGAAGTGTAAACTTGTTTAATAAACCATATCTTTCATTTTCGATTTTTAATTCACGTAGTCCGGGAACTTTCCGGACAAACTGTGTAGCTACATGTAGATTGAATGCGACTGTGGTGCTCTCGCTTACAATTGTATGAACTACTTAATTCAACGCGCCATTCGATTCGAAATACATTTAAAAAACTATTATAAGCAAAAATATATTTTTATTAAATTTTAACGGGCGTTATATTTTATTTTAAAAACAAAAAAATTTTTTTTTATTATCTCTAATGCAAGAGATTTATTTCAGCGTATTATTTATGTGATAATAATAGTATAATTTGTAATTATTTAGATAGAATTTGTTGAAAAATTTGATTTTTTGGTAATAAAAATAGTTTTTATTTTTTTAACTATGGCGTACCATTAAAAAAATTTTGAAAAAATTCTGAGTCATTATAGGTCTTATAAGAAATGTAAAAATGATAGAATCATAATTTTGCTCAAAAAGTATCATAATAAAAATTGAAAAAGTAAGAGAAAATAATTTTTTTGATCATCAATTTATTAAGCTAAAAATTGGTCCATAATGTCNGTAAAAGCTCTCTATCGCCTGCATAACATATTAAATTTTCAAACAAATCGGTTCACTCAATCCAAAGAAAAAAATTATTTTCCAATTTTTACTTATTTTGACTTTTTGAAGAGACCGATATAGATTAAGGTCTGAAATTTTCAGGATCTTTATATTTCTATAGTATCTACATATCCATAGAATATCATTAAGATATTTACAAAAGGCATTTTTACCCTGCTTATCTCCCTATGGCCTTTCTTTATTTGACGTATGATTTAGACCAATTAATAAACTATTTTATTGTGCAACAAAAAAGTAATACGTCAACAAATTAAATGTCCACAACGCCGTTACGTACACGAGGAAGACAGGCTTTTCACTATAATGTCGGAATTATATCCAATAAATAAAATTGAATTGCAAACCAACAAATAATATTTATAATATATAACAATAACAACAGACATGACATTGTAAAATATTGAACATAGTAAAGAAAAAAATGATACAAAATGTACATAGAGTCGAAAAATAAAAGTTCATTTACGCAACTTCTTTTGTTTATAATTCTTTAACAAACAACGAGCGACGGCTAGAACCTTCAGATTGTTGTTCAAGAAGGTATCCTTGACAACATATGTCAAGGCCATTGATCTCTAAAGGTGCTCCAAAGGTTTTTGTAATTATTTACCGCATCATTATTTAAAGAATCACTATCTTTATCTAAAAATAAATTTTACAAAAAACTTATGTCAAAATTGTATTACTGTGCAATTACATAAAGACGTTTTTACGATAAAACTTTGTACATTGTATGTATAGATAACTACATGGCTGCGGTCCGTTTCATGCTTAAGCGCACATTTATTTATAGTATACGTGACATATACTACAGATAAATGCGCGATTAAGCATGAAACGGACCGCAGCCCATGAATGTAGAAATGTTCCGTAGCGATCTAAAAACGATTATAAAAAGTGAAACACTTCTCATGTAGAACAGCTTTGCGCTTTTCTTGATGTATCTCAAAAACTATTGGTGATATAAAAAAATATTTCATACAAAAGTTTTATGATAAGAACA